CCACACCACCCCGGACTTGGTACAGACCTAGCCGAACGCTTATCCCCCCAAAGGAACCCGAAACCCCCTTGCCCTACGCCCCCTGCCAATAGCGTTCCCACCTTCCCTCATCTCCTTCTTTCGTCGTTCCCTCCTCCCCCTTTGGACGCGCAGTCCTGCCGTCCCACTTCCCCTCCCTTCGAGCACCCCCCCGCACCGGGAGCGAGGAGAAGAAAAAAGAGCTGGGGGGGAGGGGGCCCCCGTTCGTGCCCCAAAGCCAAGAGTTTGGCTATTTCCTGCACCCTACGAGCCAAGATGGCGGCGCCAGGGAGCGGAGGAGGGGCGGGAGGCGAGGAGGGTGGGACGTACCATCCCCACCCCGGGGGGGAGGAGGAGCAGCGGAGGGAAAAGGAAGTCCTGCAGGGAAAGCCGAGGAACGCCCCCTCGCCCCACCCCAGCGTGGGTCTTTCCACTCCCCCGGGCCGAGGCAGCGTCCCACCCACAGGACACGCCCCTCCGCCCCGGGGCCAATGAGAAGAGCCGGCCGGGAGCCCAGGGTTTTATGAATGGGCTCCCCACTCACCCACCTGCTGCCCGGGCCTCCTCCCGCCAAAGGGTCAAGTTAAGAGACTGCTGGCACCTTAAGACACCTGTCCTACAACAGTCATAATCATCTTACTCTCTGGCTCACTTCATGAAATCTGTTACATAATTCCTCTCGGACCAAGGATCTCCAGGTATTTGACCTAAATGATGGGTCATAGTGCTCTAAATGGAAATATGCAAATTTGCTTCTCAGCACGTGGTAGCTCTTTAAGCAGCTACAAAATAAATGTAGCCTTTATTACCAAGTAATATATGATACATTATTAACCCTCTCATAGGGGAAGAGGATGAAGTGATTAAATAAGTAACAAGTTTGTTACTTTCTCTCTGGAGAAAGACTAGGTTTTAAATATTACAGTGCCTTGTGTTATAAGCGCTCAAAAATATAAATCCAAATTTGTTTTAAGCAGAATTAGGAATCAGTAGAAAAGGAATAGCTCAGCTAATGTGTGGGTCAAGGGTGCCTAGGAAAGAGTTCATGGGTCAAATGAGGGCTTGTGGTGAAAGAATAGAGAAGGGAAAGAAGACAGGAGATTGGAACCATAACTTTTTGGGTTTTTTAATAACTGACTAAAAAATAGTAGCAAACAACTTCAGGAAATCTAGAATTATTGTAATAGGATTACTACATGATAAAAGGAAGCCATAAAATATAAACAGCTTCCATTTTTATTTATTTTTTAAGAGCCAGGGAGCATACTGCCAATTTGGTCCTGACTCATAAAATCATTTGACTTCATCATTGCACTTCTCACATCAAAGACTCTAAGCACCCAGCCCCTCCTAAACTAGCTGGATTTGCAAAGGGGGAAAAAAGCTGACCTGCTTACTGTATTACTCAATAACAAGATACAATGCGGTTCCGTTACATAGTAAAGTCACTTACCAAACAAGATATTCTCACAAAGCTAACATTTTTTAAAAAGCATGTAAAAATTACCATTTGTGTGTGCTATATGTATATATATATATATATACACACACACACATACACACACATATATACATACATACATACACACACACACACTATACTTTTACAGTTTGAAAGATAGTCCAATGGTTCCAACAGTTCACTTAGGGATTTAAAAAATATTTTCCCCTTCCAGATTCTTTGTCACTCCCTTGGCTCTGCCCTAACCTGGTCTCACCCTGTCACCTATCTACTAAATCAAGTAAATGTTCATTTACCCTAGTAAGCTCAATCTATCTCAGTGCCTGGAGAGTGAGGTTCCTGAAAGGACTGGTATATGCCGAGGTGGTAGAATAGGTGTGTTCACACAAGTGGGAGGAAAGAGGCATAATACGAATCACAACCACAGGAGCAGCCCTCCAGAGTGGCAGGAGTGCTCACACCTAGATGGTCCAGTGCCCACCATTCAAAACAGTCAAAACCCACTCTGCACCCAGCAAAAGTTGCTGAGGGTCCCCTAAAGCAAGTTCCCAAAGGACGTAGCTGTTTCAGGAGTCAACGGAGGAGAGTCACTTTGAACAGTGGTGGTCTGACGTCTGTGGAAGAAGTCACTTGAACTCTTATAAAGAGAATTTTTAAGGGGTCAGCAGCTTCCCTGGAACATTCAGGAAAACCAGCAAGAGAGGATGGTTTCATCTTTTCATAAAGTTCTTCTCCAGGGCTACCGAGGTTCTCTGTAAAGAGTAGATATTCCGCTTCACCCGGTCCTCCAGGGAGGAGGTGGACGCACTCTCTAGCTTCATGCGGCTGGGGAGAGAAGACAGACAAATGTAAGTGACAAACATGTCAACTGGTCATCTAGCAAAATTAGAAGAAACAGGTTGCTAGCCACAAAACAGCTGTAAAAACACACCCTCTTTTAAGCCCACATATATTACTTTTGCCTCCATCTGGAACTCAGTTATTTAAACCAGATTCAAAGGGAAAATTTATCTGTTTTGGAAAATAGTCAAAGCCTCATTGGAAAAAGACTTCCTCAGCCATGAATTCTTATTTAAAAGGCAGGCCAAGGAGATTCAGTGAAAATACCAATTCACTTCTCCTCCCCTCAAATTAAAAACATCCTGCTCTCTGGCCAGCTCTGGCCAGAAGCTAGGAGTGGTAACAAAGATGGTCTGGAGACTGAGCTCCATGTTCTCTCTACACAGACACACTGGGAACACAAGGAATGAACCAGCTGCCCAACTGCCTTCTTGGGACCATCGCTACGAAAGCCATGGGCAGGAAGCAGATGCACTCACTGGATAAACTTCCCGTCCCGAGAGTCCAGCTTCTCCAGCCTCTGCTCCCTCTCCTCATCCTTCGCGTGCTTCTTAAGGATGTTCAGCCTCTCTTCCTCCCGCCACTTGGCATTTTCCATCATTTCTTGCCGTTTTCGCTCAAGTTCCTCTGATGAGAGCTTTCTGTTGAATACAAAAACCATCCCAACATGTCTACTTCTCTACTAACAAAAAAACCAGAACCACCTCAGGGAGAAGAGAAATCAGGTAGGACCTCAGGTTCTACACCTCCTGCTCTTTCCACAGACATGCCTAACCTACTGTCAAACTCAGGATGAGTTTCTTTCCTTCCAAATACCTTGCTTGGTCAGGCAGGAAGTTGCCAGTCAAAAATAAATCTTTTAGCCCTAGATGGTTTTGCTCAGTGGGTAAAACATCGGCCTGCAGACTGAAGGGTCCCGGGTTCCATTCCAGTCAAGGGCACATGCCAGGGTTGTGGGCTTGATCCCCAATAGGGGGAGCGCAGGAGGCAGCCGATGATTCTCTCTCATCATTGATGTTTCTACCTCCCTTCTCTCTGTCCCTTCCTCTCTGAAATCAATAAAAATATTTTTAAAAAGAAATAAACTTTTAAAAAAAGTTTGTGCCCTGGAAACTTAGAGAATCAGGCAATTAATAGTTAAAAGGGACCTAGGATCCACCTCTCTTCTAACAACATAGTGAATACAAGAGGTTGTGGACTCTCAGTGGTTCTCAACGTTGGCTGCATATCAGAATCACCAGGGAGCTTTAAAAAAAATACTGATGTCTGGCCCTAGCCGGTTTGGCTCAGTGGATAAAGCGTCGACCCATAGATTAAAGGATCCCCGGTTCGATTCCGCTCAAGGACACATACCATACCCTCAGCTGCAGGCTCGATCCCTGGCCCTGGTCAGGGTGTGTGCAGGAGGCAACCAATCGATGTCTCTCCCACACTGATTTTTTTTCTGTGTCTTTCCCCCTCCACTCCATTCTCTCTAAAAGTCAATGAAAAAATATCCTCTAGTGAGGATTAACAACAACAACAAAATACTAATGTTTGGGCCCACACCCAGGGATTATGATGGGGTGTAGCTAGGTAATGGGAATTTTTTTTTAAGCTTCCCAAGTGATTTTAATGTGCAGCCAATTTGTAGGGGCAGTAAAAGGAAGTTCATAAAAGTTGCTCATTCAACTAAACTTCTACTAAGAGCAACTGCAACCCCTAGGGAGAGCCTTTCATGGGCACAGCCTCAGATCCCAGGGCCGCACGCCTATATTCTGTCTGGCCCACTCCATACCCAACTCAAACACAGAGTCCTGTCTGCCCTCAGGAGAGTCCCCTGCTTCCCTTTCAGCTGATGCCTCAAGTAAGGGACACGCTCTCAAGAAAAGCTTTTCTATGGAAATCTTTCAGAGAATTTACAGATGTTGAGAGACAATTAATTTGTCCCTTCAATGTGCCTCCCACTGTGAGGGGCAGATGTTTAAAAGCTGACAAGAAGAATAAAAAAAGCTGGTTGGGCAAAAAGGTGATAGAGATTGTCCACTTTGCCCAGGTTTGAACCGCTCCTCGACGCAGGCCTGCAGGGCTGAAGTTTATCTGCTGGGCTCTTGACTCACCTGGTATATCCAGGTGCGTGCCGCCTTTGGTAGACCTCTTTTTTAGGTGATGGGCTCCTAGTTCGGCCTCTCTCTCTCCTGTTTACCTTAGAGTTGTGCCTATAACAGACACAGAGGGCAGAGAGGAGAAAAGTTTTTTCAACACAAGGGCTTTTATCATGTTCCTCAAACGATGGAAGAAAAGCTAACTGTGTTAGAATTATAATCCAAATTGAAGAGAACAGAGGGCAGAAGTGGAAGGAAAACAAAGGCATAAAGGTACATAGATTTGATATTAAACTTGCTCTAGAGATTCCAAATAGATAAATATGTAGTTCTAGCCTGGCCAGCATGGCTCAGTGGTTGAGCATCGACCTATGAACCAAGAGGTTCACAATTCGATTCCTGGTCAGGGCACATGCCCGGGTTGTG